ATTGAACTAGTGTTCTCTAAGCTTCTGAAGGGTAGGACAAGGTTTGGAAGAAAAGAGAAGACAGTTTTTGCTTATATCATTATCTAAAGAAGGAAAAAAAGAAATATGTTATCTTTATTTCTTTGATGCTAAAATATGATTTGAAACAGATCAAAAGTAGAAATTACAAATAGGCAGATGTATTTTGCATGTAATTTCTAATTTATAAAAGATGATTCAGTTTTATCAGTTTATTCTTTTTTGTTAGCCTGAAGGGTAGCATCATCTTAGGTAAATTATTATTTGTTTTATTTGGCATTGGGGTAACCTCATTCCTCCCACCTATTTCTGGAAAATAAAAAGAAAAGAAACCTTCAGTGGTGAATGATGAATTTTAATATATTATTCCTTGAGAGCACTGGCAAGGATAAGTTTTTACTTGTCAGAAAATACAAGTAAACCTCTGAATAAAATAATAATAGTTCTTATTATGTTCTAGGCACTACTGTAAGCAATTCACATGTTAACTTTTTTCTTCTCAAAGACCTTCTTAAGTTGGTACCATTTATATCCTTGTTGTGTAGACCCTGAAAAGCTAACCAATTTCCCAAAAGTCACTAATTGAAACTCAGTGTCCAGTCTTGGAACTACTGTGCAAAACTAGAAGTAAGCTGGCTACTTGCAAATGACTATTTGATAGCAACATCTCTCCTTTTGCATAAGCAATGTTATTAACAGGTAAGGTCACCTTTTATTAGTTTTGCCAGTAGCTGAGAGCCAAAAATTTACCCTTAAAAATCTATGAAAATAAATGCATTGTCATAGGCCATCGAGAATATTTGTGGAGTTTAATACAAATCTGAGCCCTGTAAAGAGAATCTACCAGCATTAATAAGTGCTACATACCTGAAGATAAGTCTTCAGATATAAGCCTAAACATGGCTTAAATAAATATAGCCTTACTTGCCAAGTCTCTATACAAAAACTTTTTATCACATTAATTTATGAGATTAAATTTATGAGATAAATGGACAAAATAGAGGATGGAGGTTAGGGAGAAATAAAAACCCATTGTTCCAGAAGAAGCATCTTCTTATTAATTCAGAGGGAATAACTCTGGGCTGGGGTGGTGATGGAGACACATTTTTTTATAATTCACAAAAAGATATTTTGTAGACAGGAGCTACCTAGCAAAACTTGATTGTAAACAAAAATTTCTGGCTACATTCTAACTAATTAAATAAAAGGGAAATGGCAAACCCAATTATAATATTTATGATGAGATAAGCCAAGTAAAATCTAATTTCAGAAGACATCCTAATTTCTATTTTAGATCTGGAATAAAATGAAATGTTTAACAATTAACTCAAGTGACAAGGAAGTTTCTTAGCATATGCATCATTTTTGACACCATGGTTTTTTTCGTGGTACTGGGGTTTGAACTCAGGGCCTCATGTTTGCTAGCCAGGCGCTCTACCACTTGAGCCATTCCACACAGCCATATACATCATTTTTGAGTCTAATTCAAGCTTTAGAGATATTGTCTGAGATAGGTGAGGTTTGGTCAGGAGAGATTATGGGTACAAAATAAGTATGAGAAAGACTGCTACAATCCTTCCTGCTACAAATGTCAGTAGAGATTTGAGTTAGAACTCAACTCATTGAGCACTGACTAAACCCTCAAGGCATGTGCAAAAGAGCAAACAGTTACATAAACCAGTGAGTAAATCCTTCTGCACACCTACAAGTTTGTAAAAACTTGGGTTTGGCTCAGAGTAAACCTTTGTTGAAACTCTATTCAACCACAGACTTTTCTAAAGTACCTTCTACCTGTGTATATTAATTTGACAGTATTGTGGCTTCAAGGAATTCTGGATTTGCCCAAGTATGTTACATTGAACCAAACAAGTTGGCAGAGAAAAAAAATTGAAGAGGTTCAAGAAAAGTTTTGAGAAACATCTTCATGAATACAGATATTCCCAAAATACAGTTTTAAGGAAAAATTTTAAAGAAATGAAGTGACTAAACAATAAACTCTCAACAAGAAAGCATAGGAATTAGTATACTAATTGGAAATAATCAATAAATATTCCAAGGTTTCACATGATACGAAGGAATGAAATACTAATAGAAATCAAGTTTATTATATTGGGAAATCTAGAAAGGTAACCTGAATATATGATGTAACAAGTTGGTTAAAGGCAAAATATCAGAGATTTTTAAAAAAAAATAAATACCATTAGAAGCAAATTCTTCATTGTCAATGGATTCTACAGATGATAATGATTGATTCTTGTTTGGAAGAATAGATGAGAGGGGATACAAAATTGAAAATAATATTCTTTATGTATTAGGCAGTGGTATGAACATGAAAGAAAATTGAAATTAAAAAGTGGAACAAACTTTTACACAATAGTTTATTGTTTTCAAGGGTCAGCGCTATTTTAAAGACAAAAACAAGAGGCTTAATATATCTAACTTAGAAAGAAAGGAAAAGGAGTTCGAACTTTTAAAATTACTAGCTGTAACTAAGAATGAATGTGAAGTTAGAATATATGAAGATGCAAAGATGTAGTGCTGAGGATTTTTACTTTAATAATAGAGAATATAGTCTTTTGAATAAACAGAAGTGAATAGCTATGTTGCTGAGGTGACTGAAGTGTTTGTCTGGAAAGATGAATCTTGGATGTCACCTACCTAAATATGATACACACGCCTGAATGCAGGGAAGATAGGACCCTGGGGAATGAGACAAGATTAGAGAAGGAGGTTAAAGACTATCTTTGGAGTTATAATATGAAGTAATAAAAATTTACTCCAATCATCTAAGGTAAAAGTAATGAGATGAAAATAAAACTTGGTGTTTCAGATCTGGATCAGGGTAGGGAGGCTGTGATATTAATACAGGAAACAAAGAAGAACACTATGATTTGCAGCACCATTAAAATTACCAAATGAGAAGAACAGCATATATCCTGATGTAAAAGATCATTGCCAGACACACTTCAGATTATACATTCAATTAATGCCTTCCCCAAAGTCATCATTAAATAACTTATTCTATATCACAAGAAGTTTTATACCCTTTGTTTTATAGCTTTAACAAATATATTTTAAAACTACAGAACTTAATAAAGACTTAAACATATTAGTCAATATAAAATATCATTTTCTTTAAATGTGCTTCAAATTGGCCCAGTCATCCACATATCGCTCTTCTCCAAGGTGATGAAATTCTTGAGAAGGAATGAAAGGGGAAGAACTAATAGCAGTATTATATAATGTTTTTTAATTTAAAGTCACAAAAACTATCCATTTAAAGCAGTTTTATGAGCTTATATACTTTACTATCTTTACATAAATTTTGATCACAATATTAGACAAAATAATTTTCTATACTGGTTTTCATCTTCACAATAGTCAAGCAGTGCATTGTTTAAATAATATTATGTCATCCTTTGTTAAACAACAGCTGTTCTATGACTGCTGTGATTATACATTTAAGGTACTTCTTACACAAATCCTATTAATAAAGATAGTTTTCATTCTAAGAACAAACTGAAAATTCTCTGTGTATGGGATTAAGGAATAAAGAAAATTAGTCACTCTGGAAACAAGTTAGTTCCAAAGCCATTGATGTATTTCTAAACAATTTCTTGTCTATGATTTGGAAAGTAAAGTAAAAAAGTTAAGAGTACTAACATTTATGAAAATTTTTATAAAACTAAACATGAAAACTAAATTGAAAAAGAGAATACTTGAGAGGGATTGTTTAAATAAATACAATCCAGCAAAAAAACTAATAATGAAAGAAAATATATAGGTAGCTGTTTTATTGTAATATATTTTCATCATTTTTAGAGGAACATTCTCACTTACTATTCTTACTTAACCTACAGCGAGACAGAAAATGTAAAATAATCACTAGATTATGGTTACTACATTGTTGTCCCAAATAACTTATGAAACTCCATGAGATTATATTAAAGCATAGATCTTAGTATCAAATTCAGTTTGGAAACTTTTGTCCTAAATACTTATATATAAATAAGATATTATTTACTTTAGTTAAAACAAGAGCACAAACGGCTGAATATTTCTTAAGTATAAACAAGAATTATTATATTATTTGTTTTTAAGTAGAATTACATGTAACAAAAAGCTGACAGAACCAGGCTGAAAACAGACTAATAATTCTACTTTACAAGTAAGAAAAAATAACAATGTTGCTAATAAAAATAATTAAGTTCATGCAAATGAAACGTTCCCAGATAAAACTCTACCCTACATGATTCCCACAAGTTGCATCTAGTCATTTTTACTGCTATTAAATTAATTCTAGTTTTTCACAGAGAGAGAGAGAGAGAGAGAGAGAGAGAGAGAGAGAGAGAGAGAGATCTACTACAAACAAAGCAATAGATTGAGAGAACTTCATTTCAAAAATCTAAATGGTCTCCAGGAAGCATTTTAACCAGAAGTACATACCCACAAAAAAGGTCATTATATACATAAAAATATTTTTTCACTTAGATCTTTGAATATCTAATATTATCTGGGTAAGTCTTTTAGATATAAAGATTAAATATGATCTCCCCCAAATACAGGTTGCCTTAAATATATATTAGGCAGTATATTTTTACTTGCAAAAAGACTATGAAATCGCTTTGTACCTGGGACAATGTGAACTCTATGATGCTTAACAGACTACAGAGCCACATAACTGCCCATTTTCACTGCTTCCAATGAAGCCTGACAGATCACTAGTTTATAGCAATGGTAGATGACTAGAAAAAGAAGTTTCTCCTTTTCTAACTTCTCTCAGAAAAGAGTTCCTAAAAATTCAGGATCAAGAAAATGCTTATGAATAATGGAACATGCTGCTACCCTCACCCAGCTTTTATATCCTTGCAATATTCCTATCACATGGAATAAGTTTTGAAACGTGCAAGTAGAGTAATACATTGAAGAACTTCTTACAGCAATCAGAAGAATAATACACATGAAAAATCATTTCTAATTACCTCTGTTGAGTGATGCTGAACTGTTTATATCCCCAGTAATAAAAGATGACTCTGACTGCTTTCGAACAGTGTCATTCCACATTCTACGAATTCGGCTCTGAAGAGGGGAAGAAAAGACACCCATGAGGCAGTGAACTTTCATACACACCATTCTTTCAATTACAGGTATGTGAGGCCTTTGTTTCTAGCATCTAGCAAATAAACAATTTTACATGCTTGCAATATAATCATCAGTATGCAATATAGAGCATCAAAAATAAAATTAATTGTAATGCTTGGTTCTCATTAGGTGCATTCATAAATGCCTGCCCCAAAGATAATTGTAACTATGAAAAAGGAGCAAACGTGAACTTCTGTGCCAATTTAAATACATTAAAAATATATAGATGTATACTCTAGACAGAAGTAGAAAATTTTAGTTTCCATGGTCAAATTATTTTCATTGTAACTTTTACTGTGATGGGAATGTTTAAACATGCATTAAGCTATTATTAGTTTTATGAACAAAAGTTTTAGATTAGGAATTCAGAATTTTGAAAGAAAGAGTCTGATAAGAAAAGAACACAAAATGCTATTAAAATGCTACTGAACTTAACACTTTCCATAATTTTGTAAGAGCAGTGTAAGTTTAGAGATTATATGCTACCCTAACTTTTCTTTCCTTTGAAGGAGATAAAGATTGTCCATTCAGTCTTATTCACTGCTTCACAGTAGGAAATTTTATAGATAACTGAAAATTCTTTCATCATTATTTATATACCTAAATTCAAATTTCTAAGTAGCAGATGTTTCAAGAAATCATTACAATATTTTTCTGTCTTGGGTGATGCTTTACTATTTTATTTGATTTTTGCCATTTTATTGAGTTAGGGATCAAAAATTATTAATATCATGAGGAGGAAACAAGATATTTCCACATGCTTCTTTCAAGGATGAAATACTTAACAAAAAGCATTACTATTACTATTGGTGAAACCAAACTCACAGTGTGTCCCAAGTATATTTGAATTTCTTGAATAGTGAGAATAGTTAATCTTAGAATACTAGGCAATTGGCTTTATGAATCTTGGAACATCTTTAGGAGTATTCAGAAGTATTGCTATATATCACATTAATAAATAAACAGGCAAACAAACAAGGGTAAGTCTTAGAATATGGGGTGAAACAAATCACCAATTTACAGACAGATTAAAAAGGTATATTTTTTGAAGGAAAGAGACTCTCAGTAAAGAAAACAATTGAGCAAACTTTAGGAGGTTTATTGGGGAGACAGGCAGATTGATTAGGGAGAGATTTAGTAAGGAAGAATGTTGAAATGTTCCTAAACTGGATGTTAAATTGACAAATGTTCATTTTATTAATATGCTTTACAATTTCATTTCATGTTAATGCATTCTTTTACATTTAAAATGTTATATTATAAAAAGTAAATAAATCCCAAAATAAACAAAATAAATGAAGATAAATGACAAAACATTCAAGTTGGTCAAAGTGGGGAGGTTAATATTCCAGTTCACAGTTTAAAAACAATCCTAAACATATTTCTGTGAGTTTATATGTGCATTATTTGCACATTATCAGTAAGCGATGAGCACAGGGAAGTACTTATAGGAGAACAGCAAGTGGAGATAATTTTCACTTTTTTGTCTTGACAATCATGTCCCTCCAATATCTATATAGTTGCCAATCATGAGCATTATTACCTGTGGACACTATCCTGTCACTTCCTTTTCTAAATGATTTCCTTGGGTTTCCACGCTAATAAGAGCAAATTTGCAGGTCAGGTGTGTGGCTCATACCTATATTCCAAACTACCTGGGAAGAAGAGATCAGGAGGACTATGGTTTAAGGCCAGTCCTGGCAAAAAGTTAGCAAGACCTCATCTCAAGCACTAAACTGGGTGTGGCGGCGTACATCTAAATTCCAGCTATGTAGGTGGGCCAAACAGAAGGATTGAGTTCTAAGACTGGCTACAAGCAAAAACAGGAGACCCTATTCAAAAATAACTAAAGAAAAAAAAGGGCTGGGGTTGTGCTGAAGTATAGAGTGTATGCCTAGCAAACTGGAGTCCCTGAGTTCAAAATCTAGTACCACAAATTAAAACAAAAAAATTTGAATTCACAACTCCTACAAATACTTAGGCTCCATCACTTGGCTTTGCATTTGACTTCCTCTCCCATTCGCTTTCAGAATGTCATTGCTTTGGCTATTGTCTCTCAAAGAATGTCATGAGTGTGGTTAATGACTTTCTTTCTCTTCCTGAATTTGTGAGTGCTCTCCCTCCTCAGAGCTCTGTACTAGCTGCCTTCTCACCTGGATTGTCTACTCCTGAACTTCCTTTCCTCCTCTCATTTAGATATGTGAATTCAGATCTCAGCATGAAAATCACCTTTGAAGTCAGGCTTTCTCCACCACTTAGTCCAAGTGACCACCTGGATACTTTACATGACTATATTTTGCTTCTTTACTCATATTTATAACTGATATTCTCTTTTTGTTTGTTTGTTTAGTATTTTTTCTACCTCCCAATACTAGAATCAAAGATCAAGATCATAAAGGAATTTATCTTTTAACAATTTTCCTCCAGAGCTTGGAAGACTGACAGTATCACAGAGGAAGCACTTAGAATTTCTAAATAAAAAAAGTAAAATATATGGAGACTGTTATTTAAGAAGTTCTCAGATGGGGAAAATGCATTCATTGTCTCCAAATTTTGCCTCAATATTAGTGAATGATTTAGTCTTTATTTATGGAAGGTCACAATTAATATGATATATTTTATTAGTTTTACCTAAACAAATAGGATTAAACTTCATATAGAGTTATATTGTCATAATTAATCAAAATTACTATTATATTAAGTATAAGAAGACAGACAATACATTTTACCTAAGAGTAGAATTATGATGTTACAAGTAGAAAAGTGAAGAAAAATATGATGTGGTTTTAAAAGTTATACATTGAAATATATTCTGTATTAATGACAATAGTAAATGGTGGCAGTACCAATTTATTAAGCATGGACAATGTGTTGTAAGTATTTTTTTTCTTTTTTTCTAAGTGGTTTTGCATGCTTTAGTTCTATTACTAGCAACTTATTACCACAGTTTTACAAATGGAAAAGCAGAATTAATGAGATTAAAAACTTGTGCAATCCCTGCACTCAAAAGGCTAATGCAGGAGGATGGTGAGTTTGAGGCCAGGATAGGTTGCACAGTGAGACCCTGTCTCAAAAAAACAAACAAATGAAAACAAAGTCAACAACAAAAACCTTGTTCTGTGTCATAGCTGGCATATGGTAAGGCCCACCCATGAAGTATATCATTATTTTACTAAGATGCACTGCCTTTGCTTGCATATTAGAAATGTTGCTAAACATCACACAACTCTGCTGTAATGTAATTGAAACTTCCAAATATTATACTTTCATTAATGACATCTGTCAAGAGATGCCTATACGATGACACTTACTGAGCTTTGTAATGTGAGAAGCAGGCAAGATCTAATCAAGCTGGATAATATAGAGAATCTCTGCAATTGCAATTTAAAAACTGCTGAAAAGATTATCACAAGGGTGGGGGGCAAGGGATCACCAGGCTGACAATAAAGGCCTAATTATAAGAAGGAACTCTTGCTGGAAGCATCATCCTGATTTGTTGCCATTTTTGTGTTGGGATTCAGATGTCTGATTGGCAAATTTAGTAGTCTTAAACCCACAAATCTCTGCTCACCCGAGATGGCATATCTGTTCTCCCTAATTTGGAGCTCTGCAACTTAAGTTAGGTATAGAAATAATAAATTCATGTTGTAAATAATTATACATTCTATTTAGGAATAACCTTCATGATTTGTGGTAATTAAGTTACTTAAGATAGTCTACTCTATTTAACAGTTATATATTAGCTGCTAAAGGTTTATTTGGAATATGTAAGATTAATATTAAATAAATGGTTTTATTTGTACAATAAAAGAGAACTGTTAAGTTTGAGGACAGATATTCACTATCTTTGATTTATGAGTAGTTTCGATGCTAGCTAAGCTAGATGTGTATGACTGTCCAGCTGGACAATTGCTGTGTTTACAGGATCAGATATACTTAAGTAATAAATTATTTGTAAAGGATAAAAGAAAATTTAGTATTCTAAGCATATGAATGGGATTGTTTAGGGAAATTTAGATTATTAAGATTATGAACTAATTGAATACCCACCAAAGGAAAAGTAATCATTCTAATTTTATATATAATTATCAAATTTATGAAAAAAATTTCATTTATAGAATGAAATGAAAAAGTTAAAAAATTCTTAGTTTGTAACTTTTTTGTCAACTTAGAAGAATTCAGTTGATATACTGAATTTATAACTATTCTTCCTCCTGAAACATGCTACTCCCAACCCAAACTGACTCATGACCCGCACAATCTTTGGTCTTTTGACAGACGCATTTTAGCATCTTACTGTAGTTGAAGTTGCTGTGCAATCATTTTTTGGGATGACATTGTGACCTGGGAAAAGTGGCAGATAACCCACCCACATTTCCCCTGTATCTAGGGACGATTCAGCTGTGTCTAGTGCTGGGCTAATGGGAGAAACACACAGACAAGTTATGGTAATGACGACGTTGTTCCAACTTGTCAGCATATTATAGGATATGACTTACAGTTGATTTCTACTAAACATATCATTCTCTATATAAAGTGTTTTAGTATGCGATGGAACATTATAATAATTAAAGAGTTAATAAACTCAAGGATTACATACATAAAATATTACTTTCTTTGAATTTTGAGTTAAGTAGGAAATTCCTTTCTTCACTTGCTGTTATGCGGCTAAAAACAATGTGGGGTCATTAGTTAGTATGCAAACTTAGTCTCTAAGTTTTATAATTTTATTTTAAGTTTGGTTCCTTCAGTTTCCTCTCAGAATCACTCCTATGCCAATCATACTAAAGAGACAACATAGGAAACAGCACTGATTAGACTACAGCAACATAACCTCAGTGGACACACATTGCTTACCTGTGAGCCTGTAGAGTAGCGTCCTGGAGTTCGGGAGCCAGACGTTTTCCCTGAGCCAATGGAACTCTCCGTACTTTTCCCACTACAGCAATGCGTGCGCAGGCATTTCCCATACTCTTTTCGTACCTAAACAATTAAATGTTAACTTCTGTTAGCAAGTTACTCATTTCAGCTAGGAACTAAGGTAAAAAATGTACATATATTTTAATTTTTGATAATGTATTTCTTTGCCCTACAAATACAAGAAAGTCTGTTCAGCATATATTTTGCAATGTGAAATAATTATATTAATATTGGCAAGGTTGAAATTTTGTGCAACTGGAACCTTTTCAAACACACACACTTCCAAATACATCAATCACATCTTAGCGGTATTATTTCTTAATTCAAACAGCATACATTTAAAATTTTCAAGACACTATGTTTAGCTTCATGAATTTTACATAGTCTATTGGCACAAAGATATTGTAGCTATTGTTCTTTGGGAGGAAATCTAGTGAGTAAGTTAAACAGAGTGAGGAGGATGAGAGAGGGGAGAGGGGAATGGGAGATAAGAGAGAATATTTAAAGACAGAAAAAGGGAATTATATCTGAGTCACAGCACATTCTCTGAGTGTTCACCAGGCAGTTTAAGAAAAAGGGCAATGTTGGACTAAGCATTTAAATCTATATTTCTTTTAACCTTTTTTCACTTAAAAGAGGTCAAATTTGTAAATCTAAAATAAAAAATTCATAATATTTTAAATTTATTTCTACAGAATAGTTCTACTCAGTAATTACAGAGAAATATAGCTACTTTATATTATTGCAGATTGTAGTATAAAATTACAGGAGGGAAAAAGAGATGAACATTTTAAATTTATGATTTCAAGCGGGGAAAACATTTGGAAAAAGTTTGTCATGTTTAAGTTTTTATTATTGCCTATTCAATTGAGTAGAAATAAAAAAAACAGTAACTTCCCCAAGTCATACCTCATCCCCTCATCAAAACAATGACGAAGGGATGGCTTATGCTGCTGGATACACGTTCACAAATTTACATGATAATACATCGCTATGCACTTATTCTTGACTCGTTATATATTTGATTTCACCCGCGTTCATAATTTCCACAGTTTAAGATGATATAGTATTCAGTGTAATTTCATTTAAAAACAAAGTTATAAATATGTGCTTATTAAAAGCATGTTATTTAGAATAAAAGACAGAGTACATTCTGCTTTCCCTGAAGAGCTCAAATTTACTGACTGCTTATTGTATTTTTTCTGACTGAATTGATGGAGGACAGGGGACATAGCTCAGCGACAGAATGCTTATGTGCACCCAGCATGCCTGCCATCAAAGCAGTGATAGAGAAATGGCAGGGGCAATCAGTGCATGAAAGAGTACCCATGGGGAAAAGGGGGGTGGAGACCAAGAAGGTTTGGCAAAGATTTACCAGAAAAACCTTCAAAAGATAAGTCAGAATTATTCTGTTTAGACAATGTTTTGAAAAAAACATGATAAAGGACAAGAGAAAAAAAGGCATTCTAGGTGGAGAGAAAAAGAGTGAGTACCAGAGTTTTGGTATTCTAACCTTTAAGGATTTCTACACTGTGGCCTGCCAAAGCTACACTTTTCTAAGGTATTTACATTCTCGTGATCTATTATGCAACAAATCTCTTCAATGAAACATTTACCAATAATTAGAAATAGAGATAATGATTTTTATTGAGTGTTTGCAGACTAATCCACATTTTGTTTATTTTTCTATAGAAATGATACTGCCCTTATTTTGTGCATGTTTCTGAGATGTGTGTGTTGGGAGGGTGTAATGAAGAAAATTCTAATTTTTAATCATTTTTTCATGTAGTTATGTGAGATAACTTCCTCAAAACAACTCAGGGAAATAATTACTTTCATTTTACAGATAAGGACACCAATGGTGCTCATTCTAAATTCCATGTTTCTAACACTAATATATGAAGAACACAGATGTTACATATTGTAAGCATTATTATCAAAGCAATCTACTAGCTTATCTCTTCCACACATAGAAAGAATAAGGGTAATCAAAAGTTGGTTGGGAAAGCTTAAAATGATCTCTCACCAAAGGTCAACATTATGACTACAGTTTGGTAATTTGCACTGAATTTATGAACCACACCTAACAGCCTAAAATTTCATCATAGCCATAGCCTTCTTGGCCCACCTAGCCTATTTTTCTAGATAAGTCAGTGCTTTTTAATGAAGTGGTTTAAACCTAGAGAAAATATTTTAGGAGAGAAAGAGAGGGAAAGAAAGAAAAGATAACTGATTTCCTGTCACAAAAGAAGCAATGCTGGATAAACCACAAGAATTCATCATGGACTATTTGCATTTTCAAGCAAAGATCGAATGTTCTGAACTGATTTTATAAACAATCGGCAAATGAAGAAACCTACTGATGCCAAGCTCCACATTAGCTACGTTACTAACTAAATCATGATGCTGACTTTATTTTGCTGTGATATTATTCTAAATGGTAAGCATATGTCTTTAAAAGAAGAAAGAAAAACAACATGGGCCATATCCATGAAGTATTTCTCTTTCAATGACAATAAAAAAGTACTTTGATTGTTCATTTGCACTTTATTTCACGTGATCCTCCATGTTAATTCCCCCCAATCAGATAACAATATCTTATTTCAGTTTGAAGACAGGAAAGAGAATATACCATACTTCTAGAATATTTCTTCCATTCTATCAGATCATAAATAAGATAATCTTGGGAGCTCTGAGTATACGGAATAACTGAGCATATAACAGCAAAAATTACCACTCTTAATGTAACCAGTGGAAAAATTGGTCACACAACCATACAATTCATACTCAGAAAAGGACTAACTCAAAAAGTTTGATTTTTGTTAATAAGTTGAATTAATTAATAGTACTATAAAACAGAAGAATCTCAAAAATACAGTATCTTCATTATTTGAATTAAAATCTAGGAGCAACTATGTAAGCAAGGACATCAAAATTCAGTCAGATGACTAAAAAAAACCTTTTAAGACTTTCTGTATCTGTAAGCACTTGATTATTTTTATAAGAAAAAAAGAACAAAAATTTTGTTTCCTATATCTTTTTATGTTGGGCCATGTTCTTGACACTGGATAAAAATGCCACTGAAATTAAAATATTCAAATCACAGATTGGGCTAAAGAATAATATGTTCATTACTTGTTAGTATTAAACTTAAAAGTAAGCTTCTAAATTCAGAGCATAGCAAATTTTTTTGTCAGATGCCAATAGTCAATACTATGGTGTGAATGTGCTCCCTCCAAAGTTCATGTTGGAAACTTGATCCCAAATTCACATGGTAGTGGTACTGGAGGTGGGACCTCTAGCAGGTAATTAGGATTACATGAGGTCCTGAGGGTAAAGCCCCAACAGAGCCATTAGTGGTTTCATAAGAAAAGCAAGAGACATCCAAGTCAGCTGCTTGCTCTGTCTCACCACACACACGATGCCCTTTACCATGTTATAAATCAGCAAGAAGGCCCAGCATCTTGACAATGGACTTCCCAGCCTCCAGAACCATGAGCTAACTAAATCTCTATTCTTTATAAATTACTTAGCTTGGACCAAGAGAACTTCTCAGGTTTTGTGAGGTAAGAGGCAAAACCAAGGATATTGTGAAAGTACTTACTTAAAAATTTAAATGTAAACATTGAGAAATATAATAACCATTCTTGATTTCATGGCTGTAAAAATAAAGGGCAGCTGGATGAATTGGCCTGGGAGCCACAGTTTACTGAACTCTGTCTAATGAATCCCAAAGTGAAACTTGAGGGCACATATATTTTGAATTTGACTTGTATAAGAGGTTAAATATGATTAAAAAGTCTAGACTTGTTTATGGGTCCTGAAGCACAAAATCTCTACCTGAATATTAAATACAAATCCAAGTTATTTCAGTGACGTCTTTTAGTAAAAAAAGAAAAATAAAAGCTCTAATTAGAGAAACCATAGTAGTATTGGCTAATAAAAATATTCATGACCAAATTAATTTATGTATAAAGTACAAAATATTCTTTACTGCTTCATTCTTTATAGCTTTGTTATTGCTTGTTTATATTTTGGGTGATATTGAGGTTTGAACTCAGGGCCTTGCACTTGCTAGACAGGTGCTCTACCACTTAAGCAAAGCTCCCAGCTATTTTTGAACTCAGTTATTTTTCAAATTGGGTCTTCTGTTTATGAACAGGCAGGACTAAACTGTAATTTTCCTATTTATACTTCCCATATACGTGGGCTGACCTTGAACTGTGTTTCCCCCATCTCCACCTCCTGAGTAGTTAGGATTACAAGCCTGAGCCATCATACTTGGGTCATATTAACTTTAAAACTTAAAACTTAAGTTAATTCAGATTTCCAGCTAATGTATAAAATGATGATGTGTAAATCTATAATGCACTATATTTCAAGATGTTAGAGTTGATTATCATGGCCCAATATTCCCTTATTTTCATGAACAAATGTTATCTATTCCCTTAATCTCTTGATTTTACTCCCATCTTTCTGTGCATATTTCTCTTGAGAGTCAGTTATGACTTTCTTCTCCACGAATCTGGATATCTTTCCAAGTATTAGTTTCTCTAACTTCTCTGAAGTCTTTTTCAATACTAACCACTATTTCTGGACACTTTCTCCTGTCTTTAATTCAGCATGTTGTCTTGATTCTCATTCTTCTCCTCTGATGATACTTTCTTTCCATCTTTATTCTTTCCATTTATGTGTCTTACTCCGTAAACTCACCAAGTGTGACAGATGGCTAGATGGTGAACACACTAATTCCTTCACTTTCCAGGTAAAAAAGCTAAAGTGTTTCCCAGCCTCCTTTGCAGTTTAGTTGGTACCATCAATAGAGTACTATCTGATGGAAAGTGAATAGAAGTACATGAGCCTCTTCCAGATGTTTTCCATAAGATCCTCTATCACTTTCATGAACTGTGGATGTCAACACCCAAAATGACTACAAAATCATATACTGAGGTTGGATGAGTCTTCATCAAACTATGTCCTTCCATGTAGGACCTCCAAAAATTGGGCAATGAATAAAAAATAAACTTATATTGAGTTGAGCTACTGCAATTTGGGGAGTACAAACATTATTTGGGAGCATTCCATTAGTTTAAAATCTATCCATTTTACTATCCTTTTATCTTTTCTGTAATCTAAATGTATAGGCCTGACTAATCATTGCTCTTTTAGCCTGTATTTGTGACCACGGCAACACATTTTATATAACTGCCACTATCTAAAATTGAGGCTGAATAAAATTTTGGTTTGTTCTTGTCTATCTTGGTAAGTAGATGTCTTATTTGGATACTGATTTTTATCTTCAAATAAAAACCCCTAAGATAGAGAACTGTATCTTTTTTTCCTTATTTTTCCAAAGCAAAATTACAGTTGTTCTTTTCTGAGAATATTTTTTTTTTACATTTTGCCACTTCATTTTCATAAAGCCAACTCTTTCAATATTTTATAATTATTTTCATCACCTCCATGTCACACATGAGAAAACTGGGACATGGAGAGGTTAATTAACTTGTGCAAAAATCACATAAGCTTTCAAGTGGAGGAACTAAAATTCAAACCCAGGGTCTACATGATCAGAGATATAGAGACTACAGTTTTAAAAGAGTTGAAAAATATAGGAATGGAAATCAATTTTGTGATTAAAAAAACACATTTTTTTTTGCTAAAGTTGTCTTTTAAAATGATTATTGATGTCCTTATAAATGTGGAAAATTATAAAACAAAGAATATAAAAATTTTAAAACATATTCAAATCATTCAAGCCATATTTTTACAAGGTGCTTTTAAAGAAAGGTGTAGACTATTAAGTATTCCATTATTCATTCAAAAACAGAAATTTATATTATTTTAGCATAAAATGTCTAGACATTTTATTTTCTAGTGCCAACTAGTTTTAAAGAAGCACTTATATGTGTGTGTGTATTTCCCATTCTATGACATGCTCCATTTTAGAAGTTGTACTTTCTAATGCACAAATTCCATTTGTCTGTCAATGAATATATGAAAGAATATAAAAGCAAGTCTATAAGAAAATAATTTTGTGCATATTCCAAATCATGAAATGTGCTTATTGTTTTACTTGCATACTCTCACCAACTATTATGTTTTTATTTTGTGTCTGTTTTGTCTTTACTAGCATAAAAAATAAATTGAGTAATATATTTATTTCTTGAAAAACATATCAAGAATGATATATTAGAATATGTTGGGGTTCCTATGCTATCATGAAATTTAGGCCATTTAATCTTGAAAAGAGAATTCTAGCTTACCTTCTTCTGCAGGACACAATGGAAAATGAATATAAACATTCCCTGTAGAGAATTGAAAATGGTGAAGAGATACGCCATGATGACTGTGCTTTCATTAATATACATGAGTCCAAAGGCCCAGGTCAATCCTAACAGGCAGAGAAGAGCTATTGCACCTATAACCCATGATCTGTAGAGAGAAGAAAAAAATTTAGGGTTATCAAATAATTGGTCTTGCATTAACACCAACCATATCATACCAACAATACTGACACTGAAAAAAATGTTATGGTAAGTTTTATTGACAGAAAATGTGAGACAGGTGGTATAAGTACTTTAAGATTTTAATGGGGACTACAAGTTATCAAGCTTGAGGAACTATACATAAATGAAAATGTTATGAACACAGAAATTCATTTAAGCAAAAGCAGATTTGTGCCATAAATTATTGATGTATTTTAATGCATATGCAAATGTTATGGAGATGTAATTATGGTGAATGGCAAGGGAAAAGTTCTTTAAAGTTATGTTAGTCTTCACCATACTCATTGGTATGATAATATTTGTTTGATTAGCATTAGTGCTTCATTTGATACATTTTTACCCTACTTATCCAAATTTCCTCTTTTTCTCTAAAAATTATGGTATTGATGGACAGAAACATAACTCCTGTTAGAGGAACCAGTATTTGGAGTACATGTGTGAGTTTGAAAGTCCTATTTGTCTGATTCTATAGGTATGGAAAATAAGTATGGTACACAGTGAATGTGGAAAAGCAGTTCTACTCTACTGGAATTACCCTAGTTTTACTTTCAGCTTTTGGATTACTGTCCTCTAGGTTATGTTGGACTAGGTTTTAGAAATTGGGAATTTGACAGCTTTGCTGAAAAGAAGCTTAAAGGCTCATCTCTTTGAATATCCATAAACTTAAGTGAGAGAATGAAGCTGAGAATGGGGATGGAGTGGTATGAATAGAGTAGTAAATAAAGCACTGAAAGCAATTCATCACTTTCACTTCATTCTGGGTTTCCATAAGTTGCCATTTGTAACAGTAATAAGTGGGTGACAAAAGTTCACATCTTTGTGGTTGGTCACACTATGTATTTACTATCAACATAAAATGAATTCTTCTAATAAATGGGACTTTTGTAACTGAAAATGGAATTTTTTTCAACTTCTCTTTAAGTAATGGGAAAAGGTCAAAACCAATCCAGATTCATGTGTACTCATAAACCCACCATTTTCTTTGCTGACACACCTTCTTTGAACTGGGTAAGCTAACATTTCTTTTCATCAGACTATTATCTTTCATGTATGTTGTCTGAGGAAGAAATACTTATGGAGATTGAAACTTTACAAAGTGAAGGGGAAAAATGCATATATTTACCATATCTGAAGCTGGGTTCAATGTTTTTAGAAAGAACTACATCTTTAGAAAGATATGGTTCTTTGATTTTGAAAAATGGATTATGAATATTTACTACTTTCTCCCACAATATTCAGGCATTATTTCAGATTTAAATGTCCACTAACTTTATAATGCTTAATGTAAAACATCAACATTCTTGAATAAAGATTCCCTGAAGGAGGTTTGCTATTGCATCTGGCACATTTGCTTATATGAATTAGAAAACATCTTAAGTGTTAATATTGTATTTTACAACTGGAATTAGAATTATGGGAACATACAAAAAAAACCTCTCAGCTTCTTACAGACATTGGAAAAAGAGCATGGAAAGAATCATTATTAAATAAAGACAAAATTACTCTGTGGACTTAGAAATAAAATGAAGAGGATAAAATACTGAAGTCAACTATTATCACTGAAAACACATGATGGTCCCAAGAGTTAAATGTTCTAAAACTGCAATGAGCACCAATTCATAAAGAAAATAGTAAGCGAACGTATGAAGAAGTAATGGAATGTTGAGAGAATGAAAACAAAGGACTCTTCACCAGAAGAACAAACTGAAGGTCTGCAGCAAGGTCACCCATAGGTTGCCAAACTTGGTTTATTCTTGCAGGACATATCATTTTAAAATGTATAGGAAAAATACTCAAATGCTATCATTGATGCCTGTGTTTCTTAGACTGGTACAGACTTGTATCTGTTTCAGATACTTAAATGTATTCATAAACAATTACAGGTACCAAATTTGAAAGGAAAAAAACTTTGCATACATAAAATTTAATTTGGGGGGAGACTTTTTTCCCTTTTAATATTTAATGTAGCAAATCACTAACATCAATTGTAAGTGGGTAATTTCATACTCAGAAGATCATTTTGAAGATATATCACAAAATCACAAAGTAATTTCACATGAATGGTACCCAAACAAACAACAGAAATGCAGACATATACAGCACAGTGTACCACACCACAATGTAAGGAGGAACCTACAAAGCACAACAAGTCTGTACCACAGGAAGTTGTCATTACTGTGGCATTGAATTCAGGTGATATCCAATTAGCAGAGGTAAAGCACAACTTCTTGTTTTTTGGCAATACACCTGCAACATATTTATTCTGTATATAAGATGCATGCCAGAGCATTTTCCTGCACAGTTTGCTCTTCTGCCTCAATGTGAATGACAGAAGCTCTAATGATTTTCCAGTACTGATCTGACAGCTGGTTCATGGGACCACACTGATAAATGGAATTTATCAGCCATTCAGGTCATTCTTACTTGATGAAGGGTCTGTTATCCTCATAGCTAAAGAATGCATAGACATAAAGACAAGAACACCAACATTAGCATTTTATGACAAAGAATTTCATATGAAAAATATCTTCCTGTTCCCCAAAGGCCTTTGATCCCCACCCTAAAAACTATAATATCATAACCTTCCCTTTATATTCACAAGGTAAATCCTAAAATGACCATGGGAATTTAAATATCAAGGAATAAAATCAATTTCACAATTCTGCAGAATCCCTTATGTGACTCAGAAATTCCATTTTTTTCATCATGTGCTTACATTACTTGTGACTTGACAGACATTTATTTCTTAGAGATCACATTTCTCTAGAGAGTGAGAAATTTTATGAGCAATCTGGAAAAGGCTTGGGGGCAGGCTTAAAATGACAGATTTCATGTCACCTCAAGGTATCCTTATTCTGTAATATTATTAGTAAGATTACTTAATTATGGACAGTATGCTTCTAAGTAATTTTAACTTAGAGAAGACTAGCCTGAGTTAGATCTGAATGCTAGTGCCCTTTGAAAACATTCAATCTTGATTATTTTAAAATTCTGTTACTGAGAAAAAAAACTGCAATAATCTTTTGTAGTAATAGGGACAAACAGAAAACCTGTTTACTGTCACTAATATGTACTAATTGATTTAGTGTCATCCAGATAAAAAAATTCTAGGGCCAATTTAATAAAGATAAGTTATGGGTCATTTTGGATCATCTTTTTACAAACACAATTTTTGATCAGATAACTTTAATAGGGAAAAAGAGAAGAAAAGTGCTCTTTTTTTTCTTCTCTTGCCAGTGGCAATATATTTTCCTACATTATGCATATATAAATAATGCTCTCAGAAAGGCTCCATTTGTGATGCTTTTTGAATAAAGAGAACCACTGACAAAAATTCATTCTCCAGAAGATGAAATAGTGAAGGATGGGGTGAGAACCCAATGTTTCAAGCTAGTTTTCTTAGGATTTACATCTCAGCTCAGCCACTTACTAGCTATTTGATCTTAGACCAAAACTAATTAACCTGTGGCTATCTCAGTTTATACATGTATAAAATGGTAATGATTATAATGTAAGTATAATCTAAGTTCCTTTTGTTACAATGTATATTTCTTAGAATATTCAGATGATTTATTATGCTTTATGTGCTCAGAATATTATCTAACACATAATGTATATAGTAAATATTATATACTGTTATTATTACTAAGTCTGTTTAAAAATTTTCTTAGTCAAAGAATAAAAAATCACCAAATACATAGCAGTTCAATTCATTTGAGGATGTGTCAGGAGTAATGTGATGCAGTAATATGATTTCAGCCAAAATATCTTGGTAATGAAGCAGAGAGTGAGTGACTAGAACTGTGTGTTCAATATGGTGATGACTAGCTACAAGTGGGTGTTTAAATTTAAATTAATTTAAACAAAATCATGTTCAAAATTCAGTTTTTCAGTCACACCAGTTACATTACAAGTGCTCAAAAGCTTCACAAAAGCAGTAGACAGAATACCAGACAGTATACTTCTAGATCATTTCCATCACTGCAGAAAGTTCTATCAGATAATGCTGATCCTGTACAATCAAGGAGAGTTTCATGACTGGAATAACTTTCTACATTAATTTGTATAGTACGATGTCAAAGATGGTGGCTGAAATTAGCATATAAGAATAGATACAAAAATACATAATTTTACAGAGGTCTATATAAATTATTTAAAAATTACAATACGCATTTGTACTATTACTGCTAAAAGTGACATATGTTTTGCCTTCAACATGAAATAGCAAGAGAGATAGAGAGAAAGAGGGAGAGAGAGAGAGGCAGAGAGACAGAGAATGATAAACGTACACAATGCAGTAGTTTCTATTGGCAATTATACAGACATGCCAGTTATTCCACCCAATCCCAAAGACAAAGCTCACTTCACTTAGAGTTAGCTTCAGCTATGTGTTGAAGAAATGTTCAGAGGGAGGTAAACACAACTGAACTGTGACATTTCTAGGTCTTGCCAATTAAAGCATTGGAATTGCTCTCCTTTACCATTTGTTTCTTCCCTTTCACTAGGGGAAAGTGACAATAGAGCCTGAGACCATGAAACGGAAGTTGCCTGCTGATGTGGTGCTGACATATTAGGGTTAGGCCACTTAGTCTAGATTCAAAAAATAGAATTTAAGCCACTATATTTTAGGGTAATTTTTACAGTGGCTAACCCTGTGCAATGTATCTAATTTTTATTTTTAGTTATAAAGATTCAAGTTCATATTCAATATAGAAATTCATGCTACTAGAAAAAAAGCTGTTCATTAGTTTTACCACCAGCATGACATAATTATTATACAATGGTTCAAAATCTACAGACCACTAAAGATTATCTACAATATGTCAGTAAGTACCATCTAGAGAGTTAAGTTTTATAATGTCTCTTCATCAAATCAAAATTAAATTGATGGTACCAAAGCTAAATGCTATTGATTTCTTT